TTTTTTCCTTCACATTTAAGCCTTTAATCTACCCGGAACTGATCTATGTATATTTTATAAAATAGAGTCCGTTTATTTTTTATCCTCAAATAGTGTCTAACCGACACCCAAAGTCTATACATCTCAGTGAACTTCTATATACTAAGAACAGGCATTCTGAAGCTGTAGAGATTCACATTGATTTTATACTTTTGCTGCCAAGCATATTTTACGCACTTCTCCTATACCAAAAAAAATTCTTTAGTGGAATGTTTATTTGAGTCTTTGTCCAGTTTTAAATTGGTGAAGTATTAATAGTTTTAGTATTATATGCTGAGATTTCTTTGTGTATTCTGAAGGCAGGTCCTTTATAAGCATGATGCTTTCTTGTAATCTATAGTCTATCTTTTCTTATGCTCTTAATGGTGTCATAAAGCACAAATGTTTTAATGAACTCCAATTTAGACTTTATTCTGTTATTCTTTAAGCTTTTTGGGGAATCAAAGTAAAAAAAAAAAAAACCAGTCCTCTATGTATTTTCTAGAATACCTACTATCTTCATTCTTATATTTAGATCTGTTTATTATGCATGGAAATTTGTGTTTCTAAGGTATGATCTAAGTTCTTAATTTTAGATGAAGATTTCCAGTTGATGAACAATGTATCTTGAATTTCTTTGTACGATTTTGTTGCTTTGATCTATATTTATGGCTTTAGGTTTCAAATCCCTACTGGATCTTTATATAGTGAGTTTGACAATCAAGAGTAACTCTTCCGACTTTATTTCTCCTATCTTAGGTCTTATATATCCATGCAAATTTGATTTTTCTGCATAAATGCTGAAATTTAATGGAGCTTGGATTGAGTCTGTCATTTAATTTAGTGACAGTTTCTCCTAATATATATATTACTATATATATAGTGTGCCAAACCTATACTTCTATTAAATTTATTTCTAAACATCTTATTCATTTTAACACTCTTGTAAATAGAATTGTTCTGTTTTATTATTTTATTCTTGTCTACAAATATATAGAGATATGTTGGGTTTTGTTTTGATTTTGTATTCATCTAACACGATCCAATTAAATGTTCTATTGATTATTTTATTCTAGTGGTTTTTAGTATGGGTAGCTTGGAATCTTCTGCACGGGAAAAAATGTGTTTCTTATGAATAAAGACAGTTTTGCTTGTTTTTTATCTGGAAACTTATTTTTTACTTGGTTTTTCCTTCTTCTATTTTCCAGAATTTTCAGTACATTGTTGAATGGAAGTAATGTGAGCTAGTGTTTTTGCTTTATCCCCAGTCTTCTTTTAATATAATATTTTTATTAATTCTTTGCTGTAAATCAAACTCAACTTCTCTGGAAGAGCAACAAGTGCTCTCTTTAGGGGGAAACATCTGTTTTGAATCCCTTCATCTTAGCTCTAGGGTTTCTATACCAGCTATGTTGCAGTATATTACTTTCTTATGGTTATTAGAATTGCCATACATCTGATAGCCTAAAGCAACAGCATAGTTTCTTCTAGTATAGATCTAGAGGTCAGAAGTCCTAAGATGAAGTTGTTAAAATAGTTCTGAAGATTAGGTGAATATTTGTTATAAGTCACCAATGAGTCCTATTGAACCTGGGTGTTTCTTTGGGATAGCTAGCTGATTACTAATTCAGCTTATTGATGTTCTTGTTGCAGTAAGTCATTCTCTTCTGGAATTGTGTTGGTAATTGTTATGTTTATGAATTTGTCAGTCTATGTAAGTTTTCTTGCTCATTGACTTAAAAGTTCTTCACAATGTGTTCCTATGTAAATCAGTTTCATTTCCATGAGTGCTCATGCTTCCTCTTTACTTTTTTATTGACTCGTCATTTTCCAAATGACTATACCTTTTGTATCCTTTTAAAATACAGTATTTTAGTTTTGAAATTAAAATATATATTTTTCCCCTTCTCTTTCTTCCTTCTAGCCCCCATGTATTTCCCCTTTGTGCGCGTGTTCTCTCTCTCTCTCTCTCTCTCTCTCTCTCTCTCTCTCTCTCTCTCTCT